TCTCTGACTGGTAGTCATCATTTGGTGTGTCATCATAGTGGTCTCTGATTGGTGGTCATCATTTGGTGTGTCATCATAGTGGTCTCTGATTGGTGGTCATCATTTGGTATGTCATCATAGTGGTCTCTGACTGGTGGTCATCATTTGGTGTGTCATCATAGTGGTCTCTGATTGGTGGTCATCATTTGGCGTGTCATCATAGTGGTCTCTGACTGGTGGTCATCATTTGGTGTGTCATCATAGTGGTCTCTGACTGGTGGTCATCATTTGGTGTGTCATCATAGTGGTCTCTGACTGGTAGTCATCATTTGGTGTGTCATCATAGTGGTCTCTGATTGGTGGTCATCATTTGGTGTGTCATCATAGTGGTCTCTGATTGGTGGTCATCATTTGGTATGTCATCATAGTGGTCTCTGACTGGTGGTCATCATTTGGCGTGTCATCATAGTGGTCTCTGATTGGTGGTCATCATTTGGTGTGTCATCATAGTGGTCTCTGATTGGTGGTCATCATTTGGTGTGTCATCATAGTGGTCTCTGATTGGTGGTCATCATTTGGTGTGTCATCATAGTGGTCTCTGATTGGTGGTCATCATTTGGCGTGTCATCATAGTGGTCTCTGACTGGTGGTCATCATTTGGTGTGTCATCATAGTGGTCTCTGACTGGTAGTCATCATTTGGTGTGTCATCATAGTGGTCTCTGATTGGTGGTCATCATTTGGCGTGTCATCATAGTGGTCTCTGACTGGTGGTCATCATTTGGCGTGTCATCATAGTGGTCTCTGATTGGTGGTCATCATTTGGTGTGTCATCATAGTGGTCTCTGACTGGTGGTCATCATTTGGTGTGTCATCATAGTGGTCTCTGACTGGTAGTCATCATTTGGTGTGTCATCATAGTGGTCTCTGATTGGTGGTCATCATTTGGTGTGTCATCATAGTGGTCTCTGATTGGTGGTCATCATTTGGTATGTCATCATAGTGGTCTCTGACTGGTGGTCATCATTTGGTGTGTCATCATAGTGGTCTCTGACTGGTGGTCATCATTTGGTGTGTCATCATAGTGGTCTCTGACTGGTAGTCATCATTTGGTGTGTCATCATAGTGGTCTCTGATTGGTGGTCATCATTTGGTGTGTCATCATAGTGGTCTCTGATTGGTGGTCATCATTTGGTATGTCATCATAGTGGTCTCTGACTGGTGGTCATCATTTGGTGTGTCATCATAGTGGTCTCTGATTGGTGGTCATCATTTGGTGTGTCATCATAGTGGTCTCTGACTGGTGGTCATCATTTGGTGTGTCATCATAGTGGTCTCTGATTGGTGGTCATCATTTGGTGTGTCATCATAGTGGTCTCTGATTGGTGGTCATCATTTGGTGTGTCATCATAGTGGTCTCTGACTGGTGGTCAAACTCTCAGGCGGAACAAACTTAAACTTGCGCCTTTTATCAATGCTGATTTGAATGTCATTGAGAAAACAACAAAAGGTGTTGTCAATAATTTCTGAACTTAAAAGTAATCCTGGAAGTAATCATCTAGTATCTGTAATCTGATTACAATGTGTTTGCTGGTAACTGATTACAGTTAGTTTTTTGTAATCCGTTACATGTAATCCATTAATCACCTGCTCATGCCTTAAATAAAATCTTCAACAGTGTTAACCCTTTACCATCCAGGGAATTGGCCTATATGGATAGGGCTACATTGAGATGTTTCTTACAGAATAAATATAGAAACCATATGCATAACCATGGTAGCAATTCAAATGGAACAGTTTGGAGGAATACCTATATAAAATCCAAACATTACACTGTTGATTTTATGTGCATTTTACATTTACTGTACTATTGCCAACATACTAGCTAAGGTATAAAATACGATCTTAGTGGTAGACTTTCACAAGGCAATTCAGGGAAACCGATCATAACTTTGGTGTGCATAGGAGTCACGAGTGCATTCAATTGCGTGTTCTGCGGGCAAATGTTCTTCACAATAAACAAACACAGGCTCATTCTGTTCAGAACCACCCAGGGTGTGACGCCATGTCATCTTGGAACTGTACATCAAACCATAGTGATCATAAACATTGACACTGTATACAGTGCCTTCGGAAAGTATTCAGACCACTTGAATTTTTCCACATTTTGTTAGGTTACAGCCTTATTCTAAAATGGATTCAATTGTTTTTTTCCCCCTCATCAATCTACACACAATACCCCATAATGACCAATAACAGGTCTTCAGAACAACAATAAAACAAATGAAATATCACATTTACATAAGTATTCAGACCGTTTACTCAGTACTTTGTTGAAGCACCTTTGGCAGTGATTACAGCCTCGAGTCTTCTTGGGTATGACGCTACAAGCTTGGCACACCTGTATTTGGGGAGTTTCTCCCATTCTTCTCTGCAGATCCTCTCAAGCTCTGTTAGGTTGGATGGGGAGCGTCGCTGCACAGCTACTTTCAGGTCTTTCCAGAGATGTTTAATCGGGTTCAAGTCTGGGCTCTGGCTGGGCCACTCAAGGACATTCAGAGACTTGTCCCAAAGCCACTCCTGCGTTGTCTTGGCTGTGTGCTTAGGGTCACTGTCCTGTTGGAAGGTGGTCCTTCGCCCAAGTCTGAGGTCCTGAGCGCTCTGGAGCAGGTTTTCATCAAGGATCTCTCTGTACTTTGCTCCGTTAATCTTTCCCTCGAGCCTGACTAGTCTCCCAGTCCCTGCCGCTGAAAAACATCCCCACAGCATGATGTTGCCACCAACATGCTTCACGGTAGGGATGCTGCCAGGTTTCCTTCAGACGTGACGCTTGGCTTTCAGGCCAAAGAGTTGAATCTTAGTGGAATTTTGTTTTTCTTGTTCTGTTAGTCTTTAGGTGCCTTTTGGCAAACTCCAAGTGGACTTTCATGTGCCTTTTACTGAGGAGTGGCTTCTGTCTGGCCACTCTACCATAAAGGCCTGATTACTGGAGTGCTGCAGAGATGGTTGTACTTCTGGAAGGTTCTCCCATCTCCACAGAGGAACTCTAGAGCTCTGTCAGAGTGACCATCAGGTTCTTAGTCACCTCCCTGACCAAGGCCCCGCTCCCCCGATTGCTCAGTTTGGCCAGGCGGCCAGCTCTAGGAAGAGCCTTGGTGGTTCCAAACTTCTTCCATTTCAGAATGATGGAGGCCACTGTGTTCTTGGGGACCTTCAATGCTGCAGACATTTTTTGGTACCCTTCCCCAGATCTGTGCCTCGACACAATCCTGTCTCTGAGCTCTACGGACAATTCCTTCGACCTCATGGCCTGGTTTTTGCTCTGATATGCACTGTCAACTGACCTTATAGAGACAGGTGTGTGCCTTTCCAAATCATGTCCAATCAATTGAATTTACCACAGGTGGACTCCAATCAAGTTGACGAACCATCTCAAGGGTGATCAATGGAAACAGGATGCACCTGAGCTCAATTTCGAGTCTCATAGCAAAGGGTCTGAATACTTATGTAAATAAGGTATATCTGTTTTTCTTAAACCTGTTTTCGCTTTGTCATTATGGGGTATTGTGTGTAGATTGCTGAGGAATATTTTGTATTCAATCCATTTTAGAATAAGGCTGTAACATAACAAAATGTGGAAAAATTCAAGGGGTCTGAATACACTGTATAACATGAGTTTTATGAAATGGAAATGTGAAGTGCACATTTGGACTCACGGGGGTTTTGGCTTCCTTGTATGTCATCAAAGTGGTATTTGTTACAATCCTCAACGTCTCATCTTTCAAAATACATCGAGTCCTCGTAATTTACAGCATTTCCCTCACTCAGACAACAACAAATGTGTAAAAGTTGACCAATTACCGGGAGGGATGGGGGCAATTTCTTGTCACGTGTGGCGCTCCAGTTCAGAACGTCTGTCAGTCAAAACTCATACAGAGCTGTGAAGCACAGAGCCAGAGGTCTGACGTCATGTATAGCATGGTCCTGTAAAGCTACTGCTTATTAGTGTCCAAATCTGCCATTTTCAACCCGTATACGGGTACGAATGTAAAGGGTTATATGGTTATATCTAACTAACCCTGGCAAGATCTCCAAGCTGTTGTCCAAGCTGTTGTCCAAGCTGTTGTCCAAGCTGTTGTCCAAGCTGTTGTCCAAGCTGTTCCTAATATTTCAGCTCACCAACAGTAGCTAACTCGCTCTTCCTCTCTTGTCTTCTCTTGCAGCAGTAACCCAGTGTTGGAGGACTCAGGCTATCCTGACTGAAGAGAAGGAACCACTACACAAACAATCAGATCATCAGCTTTTAAATACACACACATTCATCATAATGGTAGGTTCAAACCTGTTGGTTTCAATTCAGCTAAATGAATGAATGAATGAATGAATGAAACAGCTTATCGAATGAAACAGTTTGGCATAATCCGGTGGAATCGGTTCTTAGTTGTGAAGGCTAGCTAAACCTTCAGTTTGAATGTGAACACTAACTTCCTCAGGCACACGTTAGATTTCCTCTCAGAGAGACTGGCCTGTTACTGTCTGTAACCATTCCCCTGAATGACCTATTTAATCTCAGCCCTCACTGACTGGAGCAGTGGCCTGGCGGTCTGCTGTCTCTGCTGGGGCTGAAGCGGGAGACAGTCTACAGACCAATGTTTAACCAGCTACTCCACAGTCCACACCTGTTATTCAAACACTGATACTATTCCTGCTGTGGGTACTCTGATTTAAATAATTGAATAGGGATCGTCTCATCTACCCAGCACAATTAGATCTGTGTGGATGCAGGCTAGTATGGATGTCTCTGATTGACCCAAACAAAGTAATATTTTTGAGTTTCTTTTTAATCATGTGTCCTCCTCTCCTCTCCTCTCCTCTCCTCTCCTCTCCTCTCCTGTCTTCTGCCTCTCCTCTCCTCTCCTCTCCTCTCCTCTCCTCTCCTCTCCTCTCCTCTCCTCTCCTCTCCTCTCCTCTCCTCTCCTCTCCTCTCCTCTCCTCTCCTCTCCTCTCCTCTCCTCTCCTCAGGAAGGTGTATGATGACTGTAGCTACAGGGCTATGGCCAGCGAACCCCTTGAAGGCTTCCATGAGGTCAACTTGGCGTCGCCCACCACCCCTGACCTCCACGGATTGACCTCCGACACCAGACCCCAATGTCCCAGCGCCCCTTCCAGTACCCTGTACCGTACCCCCTCCCTCAGCTCCAGCTCCTGCCCCCCCAACGCCCTGCGAGCCGACCAGCTGCCCACCCAGCCCATCTACTCTGCCCCTAGGCTACTGGGCAGCACAGAGCCCCACAATGGAAGGTGATGAAGAAACCCTCCTGGAGAAACACTTACATTACCTGGCCCATGACAACCATAATATAAAGAGATATTACCTGGCCCATGACAACCACAATATAAAGAGATATTACCTGGCCCATGACAACCACAATGTAAAGAGATATTACCTGGCCCATGACAACCACAATGTGAAGAGATGTTACCTGGCCCATGACAACCACAATGTTTGAAGAGATGTTACCTGGCCCATGACTACCACAATGTTTGAAGAGATGTTACCTGGCCCATGACAACCACAATGTAAAGAGAAACTAGAGAAAAACCTTGAAGACCGATCACAAATCCTAGCGGGTGAAACTGTTTGAAATGAATTCCAGATTTTTGCTAGGATCTCTTTACACAGTGCAGTTGGTATTAACCAAGCAATGTAATCATAAAAGTGAAGGGTTCCACTAGGTGGTGATCATTGACACTTTAAAACGTACTATTGATAGCTAGCCCACTGGGATGCTAATTCATACATAAAAACATGCTAACTCAGCTAAAAATGACCAGCCAGGTAATGATAGCTGGATCATTGTCAACACTAAGTTAACAGTCAATAGTACTGCTCAATGATGACTGATTGATCCCTGTAGTAATCAGTCAACCCTCCTATACGCTTACATTAGTTTACCCGTGATTCCTTGCAGTGTTCCGGGGTTGGAACCCCCCGCCCGGTCAGAGGCGGAGTCAGCAGAGGGGGTGTTCCTGTCTGGAGAGGAAGGGGAGGAGTCTCTGGGTCTGACCAATGACAGCCTGTCCCACCTCCGCAGCCCCTCAGTCATGGAGATCAGAGAGAAAGGCAATGAGAGAATGAAGGAAGAGCTAGCCAAGGCACAGAGGGTAAGAGAACACACACACACACACACACACACACACACACACACACACACACACACACACACACTGTCCCCATGTCATGTGTATCTCTCTGGCTGTGTGCCTCTTCTAGTTGATAATGGAGTGAACTCCATGCAGAAGGATTGTGTGGTTCTCCTCCTCCTCTTCTGATCAAAGCAGCCGTGTTGAATTCAGCGGCAGGGAACAACATGTTGTTATCTCCTCCTGTGTTCTCTGAAATTACACCACAAGCCCCTTGCCAATGTTTATTTCTAACCCACCGCTCCTGAATGCTGCTTTCTCCAGCCACCTCTGATGAGTGAGAACTCCCACTGGCTCATAACCAGAGTCTGAGTGGGCGTGTTGGGCCTGAGCAGGCCAGGTGATTGGTAGACCAGTGATTCTACAGGAACAGTGCTTTGCTCAGTCTGATGATCCTCTCCATTTTACCATGTTATTATCAGCCTCTCCATTCAGCCTCTCCATTCAGCCTCTCCATTCAGCCTCTCCATTCAGCCTCTTCATTCAGCCTCTCCATTCAGCCTCTCCATTCAGCCTCTCCATTCAGCCTCTTCATTCAGCCTCTTCATTCAGCCTCTTCATGCAGCCTCTCCATTCAGCCTCTTCATTCAGCCTCTTCATTCAGCCTCTTCATGCAGCCTCTCCATTCAGCCTCTTCATTTAGCCTCTCCATTCAGCCTCTCCATTCAGCCTCTCCATTCAGCCTCTTCATTCAGCCTCTTCATTCAGCCTCTTCATGCAGCCTCTCCATTCAGCCTCTTCATTCAGCCTCTTCATTCAGCCTCTTCATGCAGCCTCTTCATTCAGCCTCTCCATTCAGCCTCTCCATTCAGCCTCTTCATTCAGCCTCTCCATGCAGCCTCTTCATTCAGCCTCTTCATTCAGCCTCTTCATGCAGCCTCTTCATGCAGCCTCTCCATTCAGCCTCTTCATTCAGCCTCTTCATTCAGCCTCTCCATTCAGCCTCTCCATTCAGCCTCTTCATTCAGCTTCAATCAGAGCAGCATATTAGAGCCACAAACAGGAGTTTTTGTCATGTGTCAATTATCCACTTGTGCTTCAAACGTTGTTGTTGTTGTTGTTGTTGTTGTTGTTTTGACCTCTGCGTGTTTCTTCTAAAGCATTCTAACTCTCCCTCTTTACACTGGTGTGCCAGACAGAGTTCAGGCCACAGGCCTCATCTCACTGCCTGATTTAGAAATCTCTGAAATCAAATGGTGTGTGAGAGAGACGCAGCTGCCAGTTGCACCCACATTCTGTCTCTCTCAGTCCTGCTGCTCAGAGCAGGGATGTGTGAGAGATGGAGAGAGAGAGAGAGAGGGAGAAAGACGCAAGACGAGAGAGAGAGCGAGAGCGATGCAGAATTCTGCAAAAATATCCTCCGTGTACAACGTAAAACACCAAATAATGCATGCAGAGCAGAATTAGGCCAATACCCGCTAATTATCAAAATCCAGAAAAGAGCCGTTAAATTCTATAACCACTTAAAAGGAAGCGATTCCCAAACCTTCCATAACAAAGCCATCACTTACAGAGAGATGAACTTGGAGAAGAGTCCCCTAAGTAAGCTGGTCCTGGGGCTCTGTTCACAAACACAAACAGACCCCACACAGCCCCAGGACAACAACAACACAATTAGACCCAACCAAATCATGAGAAAACAAAAAGAGAATTACTTGACACATTGGATAGAACAAACAAAAAAACAGAGCAAACTAGAATGCTATTTGGCCCTAAACAGAGAGTACACAGTGGCAGAATACCTGACCACTGTGACTGACCCAAACTTAAGGAAAGCTTTGACTATGTACAGACTCAGTGAGCATAGCCTTGCTATTGAGAAAGGCCGCCGTAGGAAGACCTGGCTCTCAAGAGAAGACAGGCTATGTGCACATTGCCCACAAAATGAGGTGGAAACTGAGCTGCACTTCTTAACCTCCTGCCAAATGTATGACCATATTAGAGACACATATTTCCCTCAGATTATAGCGATCCACATAGAATTCAAAAACAAACCCAATTTTGATAAACTCCCTTATCTACTGGGTGAAAAACCACAGTGTGCCATCACAGCAGCAAGATTTGTGACCTGTTGCCACAAGAAAAGGGCAACCAGTGAAGAACAAACACCATTGTAAATACAACCCATATTTATGTTTATTTATTTTCCCATTTGTACTTTAACTATTTGCACATTGTTACAACACTGTATATAGACATTATATGACATTTGAAATGTCTTTATTCTTTTGGAACTTCTGAGTGTAATGTTTACTGTTAATATTTATTGTTTATTTAACTTTTGTTTACTATCTACTTCACTTGCTTTGGCAATGTTAACATACATTTCCGAGGGAGGGAGGGAGAGAGGGAGAGAGGGAGAGAGGGAGAGAGGGAGGGAGAGAGGGAGGGAGAGAGAGAGGGAGGGAGGGAGGGGGAGAGAGCGAGAACTACTATCTACCTTCTCCCTCCACTTCCTCCTTTGATCACTACTCTCAACTACTACTACTACTCTCAACCTTCTGCCTCTGTCGGCATGACAATGACCTTGTGTTTGATGAGAGAGAGGGAGCCCCGTCCAGACGTGTGTGTATGCCATAAGCCAGCTCCCACTACTAATCTGAGCCATTGAAAACCAGTCACAATAAAAAGGCCCCAGCCAGCCAAGCCAAAGGAGTGGGAGTTTATCCTTCCAGATGCTTGTTGAGAGGCCTCTGCTTGTTGTTGTTGTTTACCATGGTGTAGAATACCTCTAGTATCTGTCCTGTTGTTTACCATGGTGTAGAATACCTCTAGTATCTGTCCTGTTGTTTACCATGGTGTAGAATACCTCTAGTATCTGTCCTGTTGTTTACCATGGTGTAGAATACCTCTAGTATCTGTCCTGTTGTTTACCATGGTGTAGAATACCTCTAGTATCTGTCCTGTTGTTTACCATGGTGTAGAATACCTCTAGTGTCTGTCCTGTTGTTTACCATGGTGTAGAATACCTCTAGTATCTGTCCTGTTGTTTACCATGGTGTAGAATACCTCTAGTATCTGCCCTGTTGTTTACCATGGTGTAGAATACCTCTAGTATCTGTCCTGTTGTTTACCATGGTGTAGAATACCTCTAGTATCTGTCCTGTTGTTTACCATGGTGTAGAATACCTCTAGTATCTGTCCTGTTGTTTACCATGGTGTAGAATACCTCTAGTGTCTGTCCTGTTGTTTACCATGGTGTAGAATACCTCTAGTATCTGTCCTGTTGTTTACCATGGTGTAGAATACCTCTAGTGTCTGTCCTGTTGTTTACCATGGTGTAGAATACCTCTAGTATCTGTCCTGTTGTTTACCATGGTGTAGAATACCTCTAGTATCTGTCCTGTTGTTTACCATGGTGTAGAATACCTCTAGTATCTGTCCTGTTGTTTACCATGGTGTAGAATACCTCTAGTATCTGTCCTGTTGTTTACCATGGTGTAGAATACCTCTAGTGTCTGTCCTGTTGTTTACCATGGTGTAGAATACCTCTAGTATCTGTCCTGTTGTTTACCATGGTGTAGTATACCTCTAGTGTCTGTCCTGTTGTTTACCATGGTGTAGAATACCTCTAGTATCTGTCCTGTTGTTTACCATGGTGTAGAATACCTCTAGTGTCTGTCCTGTTGTTTACCATGGTGTAGAATATCTCTAGTATCTGTCCTGTTGTTTACCATGGTGTAGAATACCTCTAGTATCTGTCCTGTTGTTTACCATGGTGTAGAATACATCTAGTGTCTGTCCTGTTGTTTACCATGGTGTAGAATACCTCTAGTGACTGTCCTGTTGTTTACCATGGTGTAGAATACCTCTAGTGTCTGTCCTGTTGTTTACCATGGTGTAGAATACCTCTAGTGTCTGTCCTGTTGTTTACCATGGTGTAGAATACCTCTAGTGTCTGTCCTGTTGTTTACCATGGTGTAGAATACCTCTAGTGTCTGTCCTGTTGTTTACCATGGTGTAGAATACCTCTAGTGTCTGTCCTGTTGTTTACCATGGTGTAGAATACCTCTAGTGTCTGTCCTGTTGTTTACCATGGTGTAGAATACCTCTAGTATCTGTCCTGTTGTTTACCATGGTGTAGAATACCTCTAGTATCTGTCCTGTTGTTTACCATGGTGTAGAATACCTCTAGTATCTGTCCTGTTGTTTACCATGGTGTAGAATACCTCTAGTGTCTGTCCTGTTGTTTACCATGGTGTAGAATACCTCTAGTATCTGTCCTGTTGTTTACCATGGTGTAGAATACCTCTAGTATCTGTCCTGTTGTTTACCATGGTGTAGAATACCTCTAGTACCTGTCCTGTTGTTTACCATGGTGTAGAATACCTCTAGTATCTGTCCTGTTGTTTACCATGGTGTAGAATACCTCTAGTGTCTGTCCTGTTGTTTACCATGGTGTAGAATACCTCTAGTGTCTGTCCTGTTGTTTACCATGGTGTAGAATACCTCTAGTATCTGTCCTGTTGTTTACCATGGTGTAGAATACCTCTAGTATCTGTCCTGTTGTTTACCATGGTGTAGAATACCTCTAGTATCTGTCCTGTTGTTTACCATGGTGTAGAATACCTCTAGTGTCTGTCCTGTTGTTTACCATGGTGTAGAATACCTCTAGTATCTGTCCTGTTGTTTACCATGGTGTAGAATACCTCTAGTATCTGTCCTGTTGTTTACCATGGTGTAGAATACCTCTAGTATCTGTCCTGTTGTATTGGTCAGGCCCTGGAAAGCTGAGGCTGTCTGTGTTATTTAACAACTGGGTGTGTTAACAATGTGTCAAGACGTGTCACCTCGCCACAGGAGAGGACTAGTAAACCCTGTGTGTGTGTTTGTGTGTCTGTGTGTGTGTGTGTCTGTGTCTGTGTGTCTGTGTCTGTGTGTGTGTCTGTGTGTGTCTGTGTGTGTGTGTGTCTGTGTGTGTCTGTGTGTGTCTGTGTGTGTCTGTGTGTGTCTGTGTG